GGTCGGCCGCGCTCGCTGCGCTCTGCCTGGGGGGAGCTGCTGCCGAACCTCACCCATCTAATGGTTCCCAGCCCCTCGTGTAGCTGTAGACACGTTCGTTTTATTTGTCTCTTCAGCCAGAATGGTTTCTGTGGCTTTTCTTACTGTAGTTGAAACGGCTCGTCTGTTCTCCTTCTCGTTCCTGTGTTTAATCTTCTGATGTCTTCATGGTTAAATAATCATAGCTCTTTCAGTCTTTGTTTTGCTAAGTTATATTTTGCTCTTCTATAAAATTTACTTCAGTTTTGTCGATTGTTCTAGGAGCTCACCTGTCCCCATCCTACTTCTCTCTTAAACCTGGGCTGCCAGAATTGCAGCCCGCTTCTGACGTCTCAGCTTGCTGTCCCGTTGTTGGGGCCGTGGGTGATCCCTAGGTATCCTGAAAACCCATTGCTCTCAAACAGCAGAGTGGGTGGTAAAGGGACTGAAAAGAATGTATTTAGTACAGAAGAGCAGATACCCTCTGGAGACATCCAAACTGGGAATGCACACATAGGTAACACATGCTGCTCTGTTGTTCCCTGCTGTTACAGGCAGTCGGGAAGATTAAAGAACTGGTACCATGTGGTCTCTTTAAAATATTTTCCGATGTGTGGGTACAGGGACATGGCAGTGGCCTGATCTTCTTCCAGCCCTGGCTCTCACGCCTGCTTGCAGCCCTGTTGTACTGGGGCTCCCAAGGCTGCCAGCACTTAGTACTCATTTTGTCACTTGCTTACTGAACATGACCAGCAGAGACGGTCTTTGCAGTCTTACTATTAGTATGAAAAAATGTTTCTGAAAGAAATAGTCATGGTAAAATTGAGCATGGGGAAGGGTCTTTTTCTCACTTGTCACTCTTCCCTATGACCCGTGTACTGGTTGTTTATTTATTTTTTTTTTAGCCCATCAAAACAGATGAACATCAGTGTTTCCATTGGGAAGGAGATAAGCTTGCATTCAGAAAGGTTTTCTTAACATTCAGTATAAACTCTTGCTGCCTTAATTTTATAAAGAGGGCAGTTTGTGTAATCTTGAAACTGAGCCAAAAAATATTGCAGTGGTTTAAACTGGATCTTAAAGCAACTCTTTAAGGAAGAATTAGGCTATTGTCTTTAAAACGTGTGTAGATTAGCTTCTTTATTATTTATTTACTCATTATTTTCCTTCTTTCTCAGTTTAAAATTTCTCACTTCTGCTGTCAAATTAGGAGTGGAAACACCAGTAGGTAGTATTTTAACTTCCAAATACTCTCAATTTATGAAGACTGTGTTAGTGTAGTGACATAAATGTTGGTTGCTCCTGGTGCCTTGGCAGTACTAGGTGAGTATTAATGCATGGCAGTTTTAGTAGGAAATACTTAAAGAATAATAACAAAAAAAAAAAAAAGGTAAGTGTGACCTGAGAATATAGAAGAGTTATGATGGATACTGCGTAATGGCCTTGCACTGTCAAGTCTAGTTTTGGGAGTGGGGTTTGTATTGACTTTCCTCTTGCCCTCCCTGTTTCATCAGTTTGTTGGAGTCTCCCTGGCACTGGGCTGTTTTTCAACATCACCAAGAACTCTAAGACTGTGTTGGGAAGCTGGGGGAAGGTTCAGTCCATTGAACGGTGTCCCTTCCTACTATACTGCCAGTACCATGCTGTACTTCGTATTGTCCATTGGCCTCCATTCAAATTTTGTGGTGGTGTTGACTCTCTGCTTCAGCAATTTCTGGTTATGTTTAGTGTCTGGATATCTTTGAATCCAGACACAAGTAACAATATATAGGTGAGAGAAGTCTTTGGGTTGCCCTAACTTGTGCTGAGGAATTGCATTTGTGAATCTGTTCACATTGAGTCACAAATTGTCAGCAGTTTAGGATGGAATTCAGAAATGTAAAATCTGTTTGGATATTGTCAAATTGATGCAGCTCATATTAAGCTGAAAGCCTTCACAATACACATGAATGTCATGAAATATGGGTGCTGTGGGGGATAGAGAGACAATAGAGTCCTTGTTTTGGAGACCTGAACCCTTTGCTCCCCTCACCCCCCAGTATTCAGTGTTTACAGTAGCAATATCTTATTTTATATATTTCCCCCCTTATCTAGCCAGAGGGATGGTCATCATTATAAAGCTACTATATAATGCTTTTTATTCATTCATGTGTTTCTTTTAATGTTGTTCCAGATTTGTGGATGCTATTTTTCTACCAGCTGTCATCGCAACACCAAATTTTATACTGACCCTGTTGAAGCTGTAAAAGATATACCCAATGGGGCAACTATACTTGTTGGTGGTAAATATTTAGATTCTTTATGAATGCAATCACTTGTTCTATTAATAAGATACTTTTTACCATTTTACCATGTTTATTTTAATATGTATTAATTTGAGAATCCATATACTTGTATGGGTATTTTAAACAAGTGATTTCATACTCTGCTAATGAGGGGCAGGCTCTTTCAGTGAGAAAATCCCAGTTTGTTTCTCAGGAGAGGGGAAAAGCCTCAGAAAAATCTTTAAGGTTTTTTTTCCCCACTAGTGAAATGTTAGACTTTACTTGTGCCAGTTTGAATGCAGAAAATCGACTTGGGCTTTTCCAAGTTAGCTTTATTATTTCAGATGGTGAAGAAATAAAATTTGGTTTGATTATTTTTATGGTAGCATTCTCCATGTTCTGAATCTGCCTCGTCACTGGGTCTCTCTGACCTTGAACAAATCACCTAACTTGTTTTGGCTGTAGGAATTAAAGATAATCCTTATCTACGTTACACTAAATGGTTATGTGTAGCATTTCCAAAAGAGTCAAGAAGTGTCATACTGACTTGAGCTTTTGAATCTTCTAGATGATTTCCACAATTTCATGCTGTTCAATCTACTGAAACAAAAGCCATCTCTTAATTTAGTAGTTTATAAAGGATTTTTAGTGTTGAAGAAGTAATGAATGTAATGTTGTAAAATATGGGAAACCTCACTGGAGATGTGGAATGAGGTAAAATGTCTTCTAGGAAGAATTACTGCGTCTTTTTGTTGTTGTTGGAACAAAAGAAGATATGAGGCTAAGTGTTTGGGAAGGAAATGGTAGTAGTTGCAGTGTTAGAGCCTGGCCTGAGACCTAGGCACCTCAAATGTGGCATGGTATTTCATTTGAGGCATGCTGGGTTCTTGCATAATAGGTAGGACTGTGAGGCACCTCAGCCTGGGTGGAGATCTAGGTTACTGTGCATCTAGTTATATGTCTTCCTGAGAGCGTTAAGATTCCCAGATTTTTATCACCTAATTATAAGCTAAGCTATATGGGAGAACTCTCTCCTGTTTGACATTGTTATGTGCATCAGAGAACTGAAGGTTACTTGGGTAGAAAGAGAAGGAGCAAGAACGATTACAGTGGTTAGGACATATCGGGAGAGCCGAGGTCCTGGAGCTCTTCTCCAAAGGCCATTTGTGTGTGAGCAGATCTCTGATGGTTGAATGGCTTTCATCCAAACTGGGAAGCATCTAGTGACTGGGAGATTCCAGTACTAGGGTGCAACTCTTTCCAAAACTATTGGTTTATTTAGTTGACTAAGAAGCTTTTTCTACTAAGAAAAGATTTTTAATTAAACAGTGCACATTCTTACACTGATTGTTAATCAGTGTTCTTTCAAACACTTGTTACATACTCAATTTTCTTTTACTTTACATAGGTTTTGGATTGTGTGGGATTCCTGAAAACCTCATTGGGGGTTTACTGAAGACTGGAGTAAAGGGAATAACAGCAGTCAGTAATAATGCAGGGTAGGTATTCATATGTCTGTGGTTTAATAAGTACAGACTAAATATTCCGTTGACGTGAAAAGGCTGATAGTATGAAAAAGTCTTATTTTTTATCGTAAGAATTTTCATGTTTACCACACAGCTTTATTTCTGGAATAAGCCCAGAAGGTACAGTACTTTTATGCATATTTAGCTTTGTCAGGGACCAATTGTCACTGTTGTAGACAGTTGCAATTATGTATCTTTATATATATTTAACTGGTTGGCAGTAACTGAAAATTCTGACTTAGATGCTTTAAATGTAATATCAGTAATTTTTTTTGTGTGTGTGTGAATAGGGAATATTTTTTTTAACTACAGTTTGGTGCTTTCTGACCTTATTGTAATTCTGTTACTTTAAAAAAAACAACCAAACAACACAATAGTGTGGAGAATATGATGAAAGAATGGAGTGCCTCTTTGATGGGTCTTGGAATTTTTGATTTGTTTTTTTTTTTAAATGATTGCCCATTAAGAAATTTGTGTGTGATTGACAGAATAATTCTTTTACATATAATGTCTCAGCTTCTCATTAGGGCTAATTTTCACACAAATTCTTCATTATAGTAGACTTCACAATACCTGACAGTCATATAGATACATATAGAGAAATAACTACAGCCACATCTGTTGAAGTCCATTGATAAAACAGAAATGAAATTAGATAAAAATATGGATATTCAGAATATAACGGCTTGTATTTTAAATCAGCCTAGTCAATAAGACTGATACTCTGTTCCTTGCAGTGTTGTTGGATGACTAGCATCTGCAGGTGGCCATAACCTTGGTTTGATGACTTACCCTATTAAATGTCACCTTCAGCAACTTAATAATTTCAGTGTAATTTAGTTCATTGTATATTTAAAGAATATTGGAAGACTGGTGTCTCCTAGTGGCATTGTATTTTCTTTAGCAAATTTTCTTTGATAATGGAGCTCATCCTAAACTCTTCTGTCTTGTGAAATAAGAGTCTTCTCACAGCTAGGTGTACTGGGGTTACACACCCCAGTTGGTAAGGAAGATGGTTTGTGAGCATTCTTTCAGTTGTTTTTTTTGTTTGGTTTGGTTGTTGTTGGTTTTGGTTTGGTTTTTTTTTTAATTTTTTATAACATTGCTTACTTTCAGCAAATGGTAATAACTGGGTTACTACATTTTCTGTGAACTTTTTACTTTTGAATGCTGTATTTGTGGGGAAATAAAAATTTTTTATTGTTTTCATGGAACTTCATTAATGCTTGCAATTATGAGCCCTTTCCTTGGTTGGGCGTCTCCCACCTGTTCTGTAGAAGCTCAGCCTTTATCCAATTGCAGAACAAGAGCTGTAGGGGGAAAAAAAAAATCACTGGGAAACTGTTTTTCTGTACCTACATTAGAGTAAAAGAGACAAGTTTGTGGAGCCAGAAAGGTTGTTTGGCTATAAAGAACTTTGTTTTTCACACAAAATGAAAATAGAAGTTAAACCTCGCTCCTTTGATTCTTCCAGCCTTGCGAAAGAAGTGAATTAGGTGGGATTTATCTAATAATGCTTTGTGCTATTTTCAGCTGCATCATTACATCTCCCATATACTTTGTCCATAGATTTGTATTCCAGTTTGTTTTGTTTTTAACCCAACTGTATTTAATGTAAGTTAAAACCAGAATACCATTCAAAACCCACAGATTTTGTCTGTCTGTCTATCTGTCTCTATAGCCCAGGCTTCTGAGGCTGAAGTTCACAATGTTCATTGTGATTTTTTTTCAGTGCCTCATGCTTGCCATTGTACGTTCATTGGATAACAGTTATGATTTGTGTTGGTATTTGGCACATACACAGTCAAACTCAAGCTCCTTAGACTCTTGTGGGAAACAATTTCAGCTGGATGATAAAAAGGAGAGAAAAAGAGACAGAAATATTCTTAAGTGGAAAGATCTATCAGTTAGAGTAAAGATCATTTGCTTTCCTCATATTCGTATTTCTGAATGATGCACATGTATGTAGACAGAGAGATTGCACAGGTGCTCCTGGGAGGGAGGTGAGGAAAAGTGAAAAGAGAAACACTGGGGACTAGAATGGAGAAGATGACATTTTGTGTTGTATTTTGCATGTAGTTGGTGGTGTTGTTGGTGAGAATTAATTTGGCTTGAAATAATGCTAACTTTACTGAAAATTCTTTCAACTTTGAGACTGGAGTGATTACTGTAAAACATTTGGTTGCTGGCATGAAAGCAAAATTTAATTCCTTTTTTCTTGGAACTAGTTTACCATGAACATTCTTGATAGTCTGGTAAGCTTCTCACAGAACAGTGTAATGATTTAAAAATCCCCGAGGGAATGGAGGCTTCTCATAAAGTCTAGTTTGTAAAAATCATAGGGTTGTTTTCATGTTGAACAGTATCATTTATTTTGAAATTAAATTAATAATAAAATATAGTCTCATCTATTGTTTGTATTTATTGTATTACTATTATATGGAACTTAGCCTGTTATAGCTTGGTAGGGTTTGGGAACGAGACTAAAGCACAGACGTCATTATTAATAAAGTCAAGAATCCTCATCACAGCGATTGATACTGTTTAAGCATCTTCTTGTCAAAAAGTATAGTGATATTATCAAATGTTGCAGTACTAATAAATAAATTTGAAAACTCAAGTAGCACAGCAATCATATACCCTGCAGCAGTAGTATTCAAAGGGTGAATTGTTCATGTAGTCTTGAGGTGTCAAGTATTTTGTGCGATGAGTAATTTGCCGCTTTCCAAGATGCCTCAGGATTCATTGTGTTTTGTTTTGGTGCTGTTGTGCTGCAGTTGATGATGCCGTTCTGTGTTTCATCTTCCTGACTGCAGCTGCTTTCTCTTCTCCAGCTCTGCCAGCAAACAGGGTAATTGGTTGTGGTTAGGTTTTCTTATCCTGCAGTGGGGTTAGCAGGCAACATGTAGTTGGAGCAGGGAAGGAGCCAAGTACGTAGACAGACAACCTGTTCTGGAGAACAGTGCAGCTATGTGGATTAAGTCTCAAGTCTTTCAGTATGCGTGAACCACAAAATGTTACAGAGCTATCTGTTTATGACTAAAATAGCAGCAAAGGAGACAGCGCTTCACTTTCATCTAGGGGAAAAGCAGTAATTAGGAAGTCCTGAAGCACTCTTACCAACTCTCTTTTAGCTGGAAAGAAGGTTCAGCAAAGCCTAGAAATGCTTGGCAGTGCCTGAAAACAACCCTAAAGGAGTAGGTTGTTCACAAGTTCACGCCCTACTGTTCTGTGCTGCAGTGTAATAGGGAGGAGATTCCTCCTGCAAAGCCTTGCTCAAGTCACGTAGTTGCTGGCAGGTAAAGTCTTTGTTTTGGCCTTTGAAAGACTTGCCAAGGACAGGTTGTACCGTAGTGTATGGAGTGTTCTTAGGCACCCTAGCTAGAAACATCATACTGCTAAACTTACTGTCTGTTGCTGTGCATTATGCTAGTGCATATGCTGTGTGCTAGCTAGTGAATTTTGCTAAGCCAAACAAGGCAAAGTGTTTGGAAGAGAAGCAGTACAAATATCCAGTATCTCTGGTATTTGCACAACTTGCTGCAGGGGAAACAAGCTTGTGAACCAGGGAGATAGTGAAAGATAACCATGGTGCGTGGATGTGCTTCTAAAATACAGCTTCTCACATCTTGCCTTGTTTTGCCTTCATTGTTCATATTTTAAGTATTTCTTTACACTATGTTATTTTGAGTCCTTTAAATTTATAGGATTCTGTCTCAGCTAGGTTTTTGCTGCATTATTGTTTAAATTTGGTTCGCTCCACGTATGAAAGTAGGTCCTTATTTTAAACCTTCATTCAGTAAATTCCCAATATGATTGTGATTAGTATACAGTACCATCTTGCACATGGCTGTTTTTTCATCTGCTTGTGACTGTTGCACACTGATTTCAAGTTAGAGTGGACTGAGATGTTTTAGGTCAGCTTATGCTAAGACTTCCCTAATGCAGGCTATCAGACCTATTGTTTCAGGACCTGTGTTGTAACAAAAACTATGCTCTTGTCAACACAGCCAAATATTTAAAAAGAAAGTTTAAGAAATTAGCACCAAATAATTATTTTTAATTAAGTTTGCTTAATGAAATGGATAACTAATTTGAGGATGATCATATTCTGAGATCAACTCTTTTATTCTGTCTCTGCCATCTCAGTATGCTGAATTTGTCCCTGGTAAAAATGAAGTCCATGACTTGTAGTAGCTGCATGGGTGGTCTGACTGTTGTATCAAATAAGCTACTTCCTTCTGGGCTTTGTCTGCTTTTAAGGCTTAAATATGCGTTCTTTTTGAATGTAGTAGGGTTGAACAGAAGTCACAGTTAATATCTTAGTTACTAATCACCTGGGTGATCACCTAAAAGGAGATTCAGAGCATGCTGTCAGATTAGCACCGGTTCAGACTGTCTGCTTAAAAGGCATTACCAGCTTTTTGAAGCTTTGGTCTCTGTGGTCTTATTGAAGAAGTTCTTTTTGTGTTACAAGTTGTGCATTAGTAAGGACAAAACAGCTTGAAATAAACATTTGAACTGTTGATGCCCGAGTGCACCGTTATTTACTACCATAATATCCTTGTTTTCCTAATGGGCTATTCGCAGTTTCAGATCTCCAGATAAGGCACCACTCTTATGTAAACTTGTGGCACCCCATATTCAAAAGCAAAAAACGCATTTTTATGTTCTTAGCCACTAAATATTTTGGATTTAAGGCAGGATTGATAAATATTATGTATGTTAAAATTTAATGTTGTCTCATTTCTCAGTCATTGCTTTGAATTCTGTGTTTCTGTTAAAACAAAATATGTTTGCCATCTTTGCTGCAGACTCCCGATTTGTTCTTGCATGTGTAACTCCTGTGGATTAATTCCCTCCTTATTATTACTGTTTAAATATATATATGTGTGTGTGTGTATTTTATATATATTAAAATATATATTAAAAATATGTGTGTATATATATAAATACTGTGAAGTGGAAGTTGC